GCGTAACCCCCGGTTCAGCATGGATCGATGACGGTGACGACAAAGTGGACGTCGAAGACGACGAGCGTAGGGAGAAAAAGCACATGCTCTTGCACGGCTTGAACTCCCATGTTCATAGGCATTCTCCTAATTCCCAGTCAGCCGGTTCCGATCTGAACCACGACGATCCCAGCGAGAATCCCGAGGCGTCCGTCAAGCGGCGGAAGATCGGCGGCGGCTTTCACGGATCTGATGATACGGTAGCAATCGAATTCCCTGTAAATCGAAAATGTTTCCAAAATCGAATTGGGGATTATTCAATTTGGACAGATTTCGGTTTATTTGAGTAATTAGGTTTGAATTTCTTTGTGGATTTCGCGCGTTATTTTGTGGGGGGTTTTGCTTGAATATGGATGCAGAAGTGGATGAGTTTGACCGGGTCGGGTTTTTTTTCCTCCTATTTTTATTGGTGGGAGAATTCATAATTCAGCTTTTCTGTATTTTTTTCCCTTTTTGTATTTGGCCGAGAAAATCTTGGCGTTGGCGGGTTCCAGTTTTTTTTTTCTTCTTGCTTTTATATGCAGTATTTATGTTTTTTCACTTAAATATTATATTTTATTCTTTGATTCTTGTATTAAATCGTAGTTACCTCAATTAAAGACTCTGCACTGAGACCATCATGTCTGAGAAAAGATCCAATTTGTCTTTTCTTCTTAGTTTTATTTTTGGTACTTCATGGCCTTTTACTGTGCCCTCCATAAGTGAGACTTCCATGAACATGGGTATCTTACCTGTATACATTGTTTCATTTCTTGTTTTTCAAAACTCCCCCTTTTTATGGATTGGATTGATGACTATCCATTGGTGTTCCTGCAGGGAGAAAAGGGTTCGATAGCGACAGGCATTCCTCAAGGCATCTCTCTCTCTATTTTGTCCCCTTTTGAATTTCATGGGAAGGCGTAATCTTGAGTTCGTACGAGAATAAAAACTGAGTTTTTTTCTACTGATTAAATTAAATTTGTTCCATTTATTTGTGGACAGATTCACCCATGGAGTCTGAACCCACTACTCCTTTGCCAGACAAAAAGTTGTTGGTGTTCATCCTCGATAGACTTCAAAAGTATGTAAATTTTGTTTTGGCTCTGTTATAGTTTCTTCTCAATGTTCATCTTCTTTGTGTTTTGGATGAAGTTTTTGAACTGGGTTTTGATAGTTTGTTCGTTTGCAATGACTTGAAGGAAGGACACTTATGGGGTGTTCTCAGATCCAGTTGATCCGAAGGAGGTGACCATCTTCTGAGGATATTAGAGTTGTTAATCTTACACTGATTAGTAGATTCATTATATCTTATATGTCCTGTGGTGGTTGTTTTTTTCAGCTTCCTGATTATCATGAGATTATAGCAAATCCAATGGATTTCAGCACAGTTCGGAAGAAGTTAGATTCTTTAGCATATGCTAACTTAGAGCAATTTGAGGTACTTCCTGCTGTTGAATCTATTTCGCTTCTTGATGTTTCTTTTCCATCGGTGGTATATGTCAAAGTGGAAGGCTCAAAGTGTTAGTGCCATAGTTTGTAAGGTAGCTGCAGATAGTCTAGTTGCCTTGCCATCTGCTACTCGGAGTTTCTTTTAAGTTTTTTAGGGTTTATGGAGAAAACCATCAAATCTTTGTTGGTTTCCCGTTCTCTCTCTTTCTATTTGTAGGAATAATCTTATGAGTTTGAAGGCAAACTTTGTTTTGCTAACCCGTGAAAAGATTGTGGCCCTATCTGCTGTATGCGAAATGTTATCGAAGATTCTTATATTTACAGGGATTTAGCTTTAACTAGACTGAAATGTTAACACATCAGCGTTGAACTTTAAGTTTGCTGAGTTTGGCATCCGAAATTTTCTGTTAGTTAGGATACGGAAATGGGAAATAACTCAATCTTCTGAAAGACTGTTCGATTTCTATTTTTGGCAGAGAGACGTGTTTTTAATATGTACAAATGCGATGGAATACAATTCACCAGACACCATATACTTTCGACAGGTTTGTTCTTCATCAGAACTTGCTACTTTTTCTCCTCCTGCTATTTTTCTATGTTTCTGAGAGTGTGTCTTTGGATAGGCCCGAGCTATGCATGAGATCGCGAAGAAGGATTTTGAGAATTTGAGACGAGATAGTGATGATGAAGAACCGCAGCCACAGCATAAAGTGGCTAAAAGAGGCCGTCCTCCGGGCAAGAGCCTGAAGAAACAGCCTGAACCATCTTCCATTGATCCCACTACATCTGAAATTTCAGCTGAAGCTTTGATCACTGCCATGGGAGATAGCTCTAAGCTATCTGGTGCTTACAATCTAAGAAAAGCACCTAATTCGCATAGGTTTCGTCCTGCAGAAACATCCATTAGATTGGGTCATCATAGTGGCGAGACTCAGAGTGGCTGGTCGATTGATTGGGAGAACGAGTTTCCGTGTAAGAATTCCAGCTTTGCTTTACTTTCGTCCATTCTTTTTTGCTGATAAAAATCATGAGTTCTTATATTGTTCTCTTCATTACCTGTAGCTTCGGTTGTGAAGGCTGTCAACAAGTACGGGATGAAACATGTCGATGAGAACAGACGTGATACGTATAACCAGCTCTCGGCCTCCATGCAGGAGCCTTCCGTCTTAACAACAATTGAAGACGAATCGAAACAATTAATTCCAGTATGTTGCGATGCGAAAACTCGGGGTAGATTATAACATTTTCTTGTTTTCTTAAACTTGGAAAAAAGGGGTAAATCATACATGGACTAAGTGATTTAAGGATTTCAAGTTCGTTATATGATCGTTTGTTTCCTCTGACCGCTAAATTTCAGGTCGGATTGAACACTGAATATGGGTATGCTCGGAGCCTGGCACGGTATGCTGCAAATCTAGGCCCGGTTGCCTGGAAAATCGCTTTGAGGAGAGTAAAAACCGTTTTGCCTCCTGGCATCGGATTTGGTCCCGGGTGGATCGGAGAGAACCCGGCTCCCGAGGATCCTCAAGAGCAGATAATAATGTCAGGAAACCCGAGATGCTCAAACGACATGGTGTCTGATGATCATGTAAGCAGAATCCTTTCTCCAACTCCCTCTTCTGTCTCGCATGCCTTCATAGGAAACAGGCATTCTTTGCAAGAAGGTGAAGAAAGTCTACCTGCTCGAATGCTGAATCCCGAAACCAAGTTTTCTGCAGGCAATAGCATGAACCACATGACCCCGTCTTCATCTTCCTCGTCCCCGCAGATTCAGCAATCGAGGCAAATGATCGACTCCGAGGGCAATGGCTTAATCCGTGGTTTCAGTGGCTTAAACCACAATCGGAACCAGATGTTGGGAACTGCATTGTCTCGACAAGGTTCATTGCCGTTCAACAAGCAAGAATTCCATCAGTTTCCACCCGACCTAAACGCTAGGCTCGTCTCCCCGAGCTCACCGACGGGCCAGACGGGTTCATCACAGAACCCGGATTTAGCATTACAGCTCTAAAGATGGATCGGTAACATACATATATAGATGTTTACACATCTTTCTTTGTAGCTGTCTCAGCCAAATCATGGTCTCTGGGTATCATGAGATGAACTCGTGTGGAAAGTTAGCTTTATTTGTGTAGGATAAAAATATGGGGGAGGCTTTTATGTACAGATTGTTGGAGCGTCCGGAATCTGGATTCCAGATTTTATTTTTTGGGTAAGAACCCAAAAAGAAGATGAAACCACCCCCCCCCCAGAATTCCGTAGATTAGAGTATATGATTTTGTATTTATTTTTGTTAGCATTTTGAATGTGTAACAAAATAGCAGAATGAATGAGGAAACAATGCGTTAGATTTGTGTTACATGTGAAATCGACCATGTCATTATTTCTGAAATGCCCTCTGTTTTAATCTTTAAGGATTCGTATTGCGCAGTGACCGTGGAGATATTAATTTTGAATTGAAGGGATAATATATGACAGGATTTGATGTAGAACATTGGATATATATTTTAAAATAGATTATTCGAGTTAAATTTGAATATAAAATCTAAAAATAATTGAAATGGATCCATTGATTGTATCAGTACGAAAATTTTAAATATACAAAAATGAGATAAAAGAATTTGGAAATATAATGTTCCAAAGAAGAAAGTAAAAGTAGAGGGAGTATGGTTTTGCCTTTTGCACGGATGACGGATCCAATGGGGCAGCTCTCATTCGTTCGTTCAAATTAATAATAAATTTAATTGATTTAATTAAATTTCTATATTATAAAAATAATAATTATAATTGAAAATTTCAACTGCATTGCGTGTTGTTCACGAGATGTTCCGTTGGCTCACAAGATGTTCGTGTGAAAATTCTTTCTTGTGTTTGGTTTCTTTCCGTCAAACTCATCCTTTATGTTAGTTACATTATTGTACTATTATAAGATTTTTCATTTTTAAAATTTACAGGGCAACTAATGATTATTTAGTAATTACCAATAATAATAATATCAACATGTGAATAGATGAATTTCTAAACACTTTTTCTTCGATGTAAATTGTTTATTTTTTTGTATTTATAAAGTTTACGGGTTAAACTAAAAAAACACAAGAAAAGCTAATTTCAATTACAAAACTAGATTAACAATTATATATACAAGCTAAATTCACATTTTTCATAATTGAACATTACATTCTCCGCATTAGCAGAGAATTGCATTCCAAAAGTTTTAAAATTTAATATTGTTGAGTCTTCAGCAAAGTCTCTGAGCGAAGAAGAAGGTTTCGAAGTTTCGATTTCGGTCAGAGGGTTCCAAAACGCGGAGGGGCATTTTGGTAAAATGCTAACATTGAAGATTATGAGATTAGGGTTTTCTGATTTTGTAACTCGCAAGGTTGTTTTCTGCGTTTTTCCGATTGTCTCTCTTTCGGCGGAGACACTTTCGTTCTCCGTGAGTCGGCACCGCTTTCCGGCAGTTCTCCGGCGGCTTTCTCTTTGTGTAACCCTAGCAAACGTTGTTCCTCTTTCCGAGACGTAGGTACCGAGTGTTAGAGCTCGGTACTGAACTCGTAAACTCTGTGTTCTTTTCGTTTCTTGCTCACACGAGAGATTCGGAGAGATCGATGAGGTTTTCGGAGGTAAATCCTCTACAATTGTCATAATATTGTTATACAGGGCATCATCAAAGACAAACTTTTGATGCGGACGAAATGAACTTCATTAAAAAAAAATATTTCTGAATCGATGTCCAGACTAATCTCGGAAGTCATAACAAATCAAGTGATTGAAATTATATTCTCCTCCCAAATTTCAAGTTCGAATTCAAGACGAGACAAACGCTTTACGTGTCTATTTTATGGTTGAACTATCCAAATTGGGTGTTCATTAGAATTAATAAATCTGGCAAACATAAAAATCTTATACGAGCATAGAACCATTGTTGCTTGAAGCCAAGCAAATAAGACAGACTTTTAAGGTTGTTGCGAGAAAAAGCTGTCTTTCTGAAGGTTAAAAATATATATAAAAACTAAATATCATTTATTTATTTTGTTAGGAAGATTTGGTTAATTATTAGACCGAATCTAGAGTAGATCTAATACACTCATTTGCAATATTTTATTGTTGCACCATCCAATAAAATACCGTTAAAGTCTATTCCATGAATTAAACTAATAAAATAATTCATCATAAGAAATTCGTCAGTGCATGCTATGCATTGCCTTCTAGATAGATATCCAGAGAGATTATTATATACATAATAACTTAGACTCACCTGATATTACAAATAATTAAATATTGATGGGCGCTGGATACTTGCCCATAATTATGTAATTAATTACTTTATATTGTTAGCGTGGCATATATAGTTAATATACACAACTAAATGGATATTTTGGGAAATTTTTAATTAAGAATGTCCATCAATATCTCATCATGTGTTCCAATATATTAATAAGTTTGAGGACAATTTCATTATCAACAAGTACTTTTTTTGTGTATATATGTAAGCCTACTGCAAAAAAAATTTCCCCAAAAAAAAAAACTATTTTTTTTAATCTAAATCATTCGTTTTATAAATTTGGAAAAAGGAATTTTTCTACCAAAAAAATAAATGAAAGATAAGATTGAAAAAACTACTAAATATATAATAAATTATTAACAATAGTGGAAACAATTTTCCAAAACGGTAAATTAAAGTGGGAACAGTGCTGCCGTTTTACAACTTATTCGCACTGCCGCCACGCGGGAAGCCACGTAAGCTCAATCGAGCCCACACGCCAAGTAATCACAGCCGTCCACGTGTCAAAATCTCAACCGCGTTTCAGTTCGGCGAGACCAACAGCTGTCGGCCTCATGGAGGACTTTCAGTCACACTATTCATTCATGGAACAGAGCTACTCGTCGAAGAGGGGCATAGACGGAATTTCGCTTTCCCAAGCGCGGAATCGAGAGGGGCAATACGGTAATTCCGTGCACCAGGGGACCGGAGCCTTTAAATGCGAGCGAGGAGAGAGAGGGGGCGTGAAGAATGAATAGGCGAGTTTTTGCTGGTTCTATTATTTCCTTTTCAATTATATAATTAATAATAATAATAATAAATGGAAGGAATTATTTTATTCTCAGAAATTGGATAGAGATGACTAAAGGCAAACACGCAAAAGGACAAAAACGAAGATAAAAAATAATAATTTTAAAGGAAAATAGGGCCCCACATCGAAAGGCACCAAACGTAAGTCGTCGTCTTCTGCTGCTTGAATTTAGCTGAAACTGAAAAAAATACAATTTAATAATTTTTTATTCATGGAAAATAAGCAAAAGAAGAAAATTAATAGCAGGATTTGGAAAAAAAGGGAAGAAAGACACGCGGTTCTAAAGTTAGCCTCGTCGGCTCCGTGAAATTCTCTCCTGTTTCTTTTGCAAAGATTCTTCCTTTTGATCCATTCTGTTGCAAAATCTGTTCTTCTTCTTTCATATATAAAGAAGCCATTTGTCTCATTGGTATAATTTTAGCAAATCTCGAATTTTCTCTCTTTTTTTTATATATTTTTTAAATTAAGTTTTTGGCCGATTCGGATCTTCCTAGGGAATAGTAATTCAATCAGCTTATACCCTCGATTCATTTGTTCTCTGGAATTATAGAACAAAAGAGAGAGAAGAAATATTGATTCTTGATTCTCTCTCTTCCCCATTGTAGTTCCTGAGACAAATCCTAGGTATTTTGCGGCTTTTTTTTTTGTTTGGTTTGGTTTCTCTCTCGCATTTCTCAGACGGGTCTTTTCCGGGTGGGTTTCTGGAGCTGGGCTTGCTGATAATGTTAGAGACATGATCTCATACCAGCTCCTTGTCTGAATCCCTTCGCCATTGCTGCCGTCATCCTCAAGCTCTCTGTTCTGGGCGTGTTCTTTCTTGAATAAAGTTTTGTTGTCGTCCTGGAGAATCTGAAAGGAAATGGGCTGCTTCTCTTGTTTCAATCCTCGAACGAAGGACATAAGGGTCGACATCGATACCTCCCGATGCAGCTCTCGCCACCCAAATGACTCCTCAGGTCTCTAATCTCTTTATATTCCATTCATCACATCGAAATTCGTTGGCTTTTCATGAAAGTTTCGTCCTTTGACGTGTTTTCCGGTGACCCTCCTGTCTGTTTTCAGTTAACGTTATCAGTGATAACGGTGGAAGAACAGAGTCGAATTCGGGTGTTTTAGGTGAGGATTTAAGGGTTTTTTTCCCCAGACATTTGAAAGAAGTTTCGAACATTGGTTGATGTCTTCTTGTTGGGTGTTTGATCAGTTGATGGGAAGGTGAATAGCCCTAAACCCGGCGGCGGAGCCCGAAGCTTCACGTTCAAGGAGCTGGCGGAAGCGACAAGGAATTTCAGGGAAGTGAATTTGATCGGTGAAGGAGGTTTTGGGAGGGTTTTCAAGGGCCGTTTGGATTCAGGACAAGTAAATTTCTCGCTGAACGATGTTGTTGTTGTCTTGACAAGAATCTCGATGAACTGTTTCAAGATCTGGAAAATGTGATCTGTTCTTCCTTCTGACAGGTAGTGGCGATCAAGCAACTGAACCCAGATGGCCATCAGGGTAATCAGGAGTTCATAGTGGAGGTTCTCATGCTTAGCCTCTTACATCATCAGAATCTCGTAACTTTGATCGGTTACTGTGTTTCCGGTGATCAGAGGCTTCTTGTCTATGAGTACATGTCCATGGGAAGCCTGGAAGACCATCTTTTCGGTGAGTTTTCACTCAAATATCTCGAGATTTTTCGTGTTTCTTTGGCATACATCGAGTTATTAGCATCTATGAATAGTGTTTATTAAAGGGATGACTCAAGTTTTCATAGCAATCCCTTGCTTTTAGTTGCATTTGTATACCTTTGAAATTTGAATGGCACGGACTCGTTTCCGCTCCCGCGCAAATTTGCGTAAGAGGCACGGAATCTACTTAACATGTATTTCTTTGGATCTTTACTTGTTATGGAATGAGATAAGATGTTAACGGAGCTCGATTAGGGTAGACCGAGTAAACTAGGCCTCGATAAGCTATTCCACGTATGATATTCAAACTGTTGGAATTGCGCGGGAAAGTATTACCTGTTGTTTTTCGTTGATGATTGAACCCGTATCTACTAAGTCTTCATGTACACGCTCCACAAACCGTGTATAATACGTAAATTACGTGACTGCATACTGCATTTAGATTCAAGCTATGATCTATGTTAGTTTTGGCGGTTGGTTGTTTGAAGTTTAGGATATATTTCCATCTCAATCTAAATGCTAATTCTGTGGGATACACATTCCTTATCAGTCCGAGTTGACGAGCTTTTCCGTCTATCCTCTGTTTATATCTCTTTTTTGTTCTTTCTCGTTTTCCAGATCTCGAACCTGATCAGGAGCCTCTGAACTGGATCACCCGGATGAAAATCGCGGTGGGTGCAGCTCGTGGTCTAGAGTACCTTCACTGCAAAGCAAACCCGCCCGTGATTTACCGTGATCTGAAATCTGCAAACATATTACTAGATGAGGACTTCAACCCGAAACTCTCCGACTTTGGACTGGCCAAACTAGGTCCTGTCGGCGACCGAACACATGTCTCAACCCGTGTCATGGGGACCTACGGATACTGTGCTCCCGAATATGCGATGAGCGGAAAGTTAACGGTTAAATCAGACATCTATAGCTTCGGTGTCGTGTTACTCGAACTGATCACTGGCAGGAAGGCCATTGATGTGACAAGACAGCAGGGTGAACAGAACCTCGTCGCTTGGGTAAGTAAAGCAGGTTCCTTGTTAAGCCTTTTTCACGGTTTTCTTATAAACCCATGTCTCTATATGAGTTTGCATCTAAACCCAGTTAAAGAATCTTCAAGCCGCTCCTTTTTTCAGTTGCAAGCACCTATGAATATGATCAATCAAATTTTCGGTTTTGGCAGTCACATTTTCCTTGTTAAACCTTTTTTCACGGTTCTGGCAAGCTGCTACGTCGTTTTTCAAGTTTCAAGAATCTCTGATCAATCACATTTTCGGGTTTTCGGTGGGCTTATTCTGACTGCAGGCACGCCCGTTGCTCAAGGACCAGAAGAAGTTCGGACAGCTTGTGGATCCTTCGCTTCGGGGGAGATATCCGAGGAGGTGTCTGAACTACGCGTTAGCGATAACAGCGATGTGTCTGAACGAAGAAGCGCATTACCGACCGTTCATCGGAGACATATTGGTGGCTCTCGAGTACTTAGCCGCTCAGAGCGAAGCTTCAGGCTCTCGAAGTGCAGCGTCCAAGTCGCCGAGGAATGTGACCAGAAACGATGAATGAGTTTGCAAGACAGATAGAGCCTCTGGTAGGTCCAGAAGGTTTCGTCTCATTAGAGGGAGGAAAGAAAAAGTATCCGCCAACATTATAAAATTTGTTGAATTTATTTATTTTGGGTTAAATTTTATATGGTATTTTTTCATTGTTTGTGGGTTTTTTATGTAGTCATAGATTGGATTTGGACGACGAGGATTCGCTGAATGCGAATTGGATGTCATGTAAACATTAATTTTTAAAGCAAAAAAAATCATATTTTGGTAATATATTATTATAATATTATTATATAAAGTAGATGAGTATGACATATTCCGAAAAGGGCAATTTCACTTGTTTTCTTATTTCACCGATTAAATTATTCAAATTTGGTATAAGAATACAAGATTTGTACATAATATTCACTAAAAGTTTGTTTATATCCATTCATTCCTTGATTAGATTTTTCAAGTTGAAAATATTAGTTTATGGATATTTTGGATTTTATTTCAGTTATTTGGAGTTTGATTTATTTATTTTTTGCATTTCGTCCGGTGGAAAAAGTCAATGATTGATTAAAATCTTGACTTGTAACTAATATGCATTATTGATTAAAATATTTATAAATAAAATGGTACAGAAAATTATAATTTTATGTGATCTGAGGCAAGTGATTAAGAATAAAAAAACAAGCTTTCTAATTTTAATTTGAAAATAATCAAAATAAATTCTGAAACATCTATTTGTTAGTATAAACAATCGAGGAGATCAAAGGAAAATCTCATTAGCCCAATTAAATCATATAAATTGTATTATTATAGATAATTAATAGATGGATAGATTTAAGTTTTGAATCAGTAGAAAATCTTTTCGTATTGTAAAATCTGATTAATACATATTTTTATGGTACGATCTTGCTAATATAATTTTTTTTAATACAAATAGAATAATTATTAAATTAAAAAAGAAATATAAATTAAAAGAACTAGTCATTGATATAGCATGACGTATTGTATCGAATATATATAAACACTAAACTTGTATAATTCTTGTTTTTTATCCGATTAAAAAAATCCATATGATTATTTTCAATTTTGGTTTCATGATTGTTTCACAATTTTAATGGATTTTTTTATACAATTTTAATATTTATTTTTATCTAAATATATATGATCAACCAATTCGATCTTTTTTAATTTTAGAATTTCATTTGACTGGATAAATATAAAATCAAAGTAGTTGGGATTAGATATGATTTGATTGGATTAATGAGATTATTTATTTTTGCTAATGCAAAAAATTATTAATACATATTTTATTTGTAAGATATTTTTAATATATATATATATATAATATTAAATAAAAAAATAAACGCACAATAATAGAATTAATAGATGAAGATAAATCTGTAAAAGATTAATCAGTGATATAATTGATGTATATCCTAAACGAAGATAAATCTATCAAAAATAAATTTATAAATTAATCTTCATCCCAAAACCCTATTTCAATTGTTCTCTTGTTTCTTTCAGTCTCTGTTCTTTTCTTTTCTTTTCTTTTGCACAACAATGGCAACAACAATGGCAACGGGGATTGAAAGTATCAAGAACAACGAGAATGTCGATCTGGTATAGTTTTACTTTAAATCTTTAAAAAACGTTATGTTGAAGATAATTTATACATATATATATACATACATACATACATACATACATACATACATACATACATATATATATATACACGTTTGTAGTGTGTATAAAGTGTTGTGAACTGTGATTGCAGGAGAAAATCCCTATGGAGGAAGTTTTCCAGCATTTAAAATGCAGCAGTGAGGGGTTAACCAAAGAAGAAGCAGACAACAGGCTCCAGATCTTTGGTCCCAACAAATTGGAAGAGAAGAAGGTTAATAATTATATATTATTGAAGCACTAAAATAACATATATATTTATATATGTGTATATATATATATAACACGGACATGTATATGTTACTGGACAGGAGAGCAAGATATTGAAGTTTCTAGGGTTTATGTGGAATCCATTGTCGTGGGTGATGGAAGCAGCGGCCATAATGGCGATAGCGTTGGCTCACGGTGGAGGGAGAGATGCTGACTGGCAGGATTTCGTCGGCATAATCTGTTTGCTGTTCATCAATTCTACCATCTCTTTCATTGAAGAGAACAACGCCGGCAATGCCGCCGCTGCTCTCATGGCCGGTCTTGCTCCCAAGGCTAAGGTACGTGAAATATACGCATACATCTACGTTGAATATTAACAGGAAAAATTGTAACTTTATGTTTCGATTGACTTGTTTTTTTTCTGGGTTTTTTATTTATAGAATATATATATATATATATATATATATATTTATGAGCTTTACCCTCTTTAGGGTTTTTTCTCTCTCTATGTTTTGGAAACGTTTTGTTGTCAAATTCTACCAACAAAGATACGTTGCTTTCCATTGCAGGTTCTGAGGGATGGCAAGTGGAGTGAAGAAGAAGCGGCCATTCTTGTTCCCGGAGATATCATAAGCGTCAAGCTCGGAGATATCATCCCTGCAGATGCTCGTCTCCTCGAGGGCGATCCTTTAAAGATCGACCAATCTGCCTTGACCGGTGAATCCCTCCCCGTGACGAAATCACCGGGCGAAGAGATTTTCTCGGGCTCGACTTGCAAGCAAGGCGAGATCGAGGCTATCGTTATCGCGACGGGAGTTCACACTTTCTTTGGGAAGGCTGCTCATCTTGTGGACAGTACAAACCAGGTTGGTCACTTCCAGAAGGTTTTGACCGCCATTGGAAACTTCTGCATATGCTCCATTGCCCTCGGAATGCTCGTCGAGATCGTGGTTATGTACGCGATTCAGCACAGGAGATATCGAGACGGGATCGATAATCTTCTCGTCCTCTTGATCGGAGGGATCCCCATTGCAATGCCTACTGTCCTGTCTGTGACAATGGCCATTGGTTCTCATAGGTTGTCTCAACAAGGTGCTATAACTAAGCGTATGACCGCCATCGAAGAGATGGCTGGCATGGATGTTCTCTGCAGCGACAAAACCGGAACGCTTACTCTCAACAAGCTTACTGTTGACAGAAGCACGGTAGAGGTTTTCGCAAAGGGGGTTGATAAAGAGGAAGTGATCTTGTTGGCTGCTAGGGCTTCAAGAACTGAGAATCAAGACGCCATTGATGCAGCAATGGTTGATATGCTTGCTGATCCCAAGGAGGTATGCATATATATATATATATATATATTTATGTATGTATATACGATTACATTGTTCTTGATTCTTGTCATTCGTTTTACGCTCTTGTGTTTTCAGGCAAGAGCTGGTATCAAAGAGGTGCATTTCCTTCCGTTTAATCCTGTGGACAAGAGGACTGCTCTAACATATATCGACGAAAGGGATGGCGAATGGCACCAAGTGAGCAAAGGAGCTCCCGAGCAGGTGATTTTTCATGTCACGGATTCGTTTAGTCGGTCTGACGTTATATATTTGCCCGAATTCGTTGATTAGCTGCTCGTTTTCGTTCAGATCCTCGCTCTCTGCAATGCTGGGGAAAGTCTCAAGAGGAGAGTCCATTCCAAGATCAATAGGTTTGCCGAACGTGGCTTGAGATCTCTTGCTGTTGCAAGACAGGTTTGTTTACATTTTGATCGTCTTTTTCTTTTTCCGAAAACGATTACCGACAACTGCGTTTTTTACATTCAGGTTTTGCCCGAGAAAACGAGAGAAGGCCCTGGAAGTCCATGGGAATTCGTCGGCTTGTTGCCTCTGTTTGATCCTCCAAGGCATGACAGCGCAGATACCATCAAACGAGCTCTAGATCTCGGTGTCAACGTAAAGATGATAACCGGTAACCATTGGCTTGGAACCTCTGAAATCCGATAAAACGCTGTCTTATACACTTTCCTCTCGTCATCGCTCTGTTTCTCGTGCAATGGCTTAGGTGATCAACTCGCTATCGCCAAGGAGACAGGTCGTAGGCTCGGGATGGGAACAAACATGTATCCTTCTGCTTCTTTGCTCGGCCAAGATGGAGCATCCATTCCCGTAGACGAGTTGATTGAAAAGGCAGACGGGTTTGCAGGCGTATTCCCAGGTCAGTCTGCATTCTCATTCAACTCGAAAACATTCAAGAACACGTTTTTTTTCGTAATCCGAATCTACCGTTCTTTTGTACTCAGAGCACAAATACGAAATCGTGAAAAAGTTGCAAGAGAGGAAGCATATCTGCGGTATGACCGGAGATGGCGTGAACGATGCTCCGGCCCTGAAGAGGGCAGATATCGGAATTGCTGTGGCTGACGCCACAGACGCCGCGAGGAGCGCCTCTGATATCGTTCTTACCGAGCCGGGACTCAGCGTCATCATCAGCGCCGTGCTTACAAGCCGAGCCATTTTCCAGAGGATGAAGAACTACACTGTGAAGTCTCTTTTATACACCTTTCTTCTCTCTTTCATCTGATTTCTTTGTTCATGAAGATTAAAACCCCTGAAAAATTTTCTGTCTCTGTAGATTTACGCGGTCTCTATCACCATTCGTATAGTGGTAAGAACAAAAGCAGATTGAATTCCGACATTGTTTTCAAAAGGATGGACCGTGGTCGGTTCTTTGCTGATTTTTTTTTCTCTGCAGTTTGGCTTCATGCTCATAGCTCTGATATGGAAGTTCGATTTTTCGCCGTTCATGGTTCTGATCATTGCCATTCTAAACGACGGTGAGGTTTCTCTTACACGTCGACGATATACATATATATATATATATATGTATATATAAAAAGAATTGACAGAAAGAGAATTGTGAATTTGTGATGATGCAGGGACCATCATGACAATCTCAAAGGACAGGGTGAAGCCATCTCCCACGCCAGATAGCTGGAAACTGAAAGAGATTTTCACCACTGGCATCGTTCTTGGAGGCTACTTGGCCTTGATGACGGTCCTGTTCTTCTGGGCTGCTTACGAAACCGACTTCTTCCCGGTACAAATATCCATTCCAATCTCTCGTTTTTTTATAAAAAAAAATCTCTGAATCTTATGATGGAATGATTGCACAGAAAACGTTCAACGTGAGGGATTTGAGGGGCAGGGAACACGAGATGATGGCGGCGCTCTACCTGCAAGTGAGCATAGTGAGCCAAGCTCTTATCTTTGTCACGAGGTCTCGAAGCTGGTCTTTCGTGGAGCGCCCCGGAATGCTCCTGGTCACTGCCTTCGTTCTTGCTCAACTGGTAAACCCTCTGACGGAATCTGAATCTCTAGGGTTTGTTTCTTGGCATTCAAGTAACTGTACAGTATAAAAAAAAACCTCGGCATTATTTCAGGCGGCGACATTGATAGCAGTGTACGGGAAATGGAGTTTCGCGAGGATAGAGGGCATCGGGTGGGGCTGGGCTGGGGTCATATGGCTATACAGCGTCGTCTTCTACGCGCCGCTGGACGTGATGAAGTTTGCCATACGTTACATACTCAGCGGAAAGGCTTGGCGTAATGTGTTCGAGAAGGAGGTGAAACACGCATTTTTTAAAATTTACGAATCCACTATAATCAGGGAATGATGAAGAACACTAACGCACAGATTTCTGTCTTAAACAGACAACATTCACAAGAACCACCATTGACGTAGAGCTGTCTGAGATTGCAGAGCAGGCTAAGAGACGAGCTGAGATAGCAAGGTCTTTACATTCAATACCCTATAATACACATATTCATATATATATATATAGTGTGTATATATATATATATGCTGAATAATATATATGAATATATGGATCACAGGCTGAAGGAGCTGCACACGCTGAAAGGGCACATAGAGTCGATGGTGAAGCTGAAGGGTTTGGACATTGAGACGCCACATCACTATACCCATCACTAAGCACTGGAACCATGAATAAAACCCAATGTGTTTTTTTTTTCTTATTGGGTTTAGGATTTTTTTTTAGGGTTTCCGTACATTCAGACTCTTGGGGTTAGGTCTTTTCCGTTTTTTTTTTATTATTGTTTGATTATTACTATCTTATACAAGACTCATTAAAAAAAAGGCTTAATTTACAATGCCATATTAATTTTTTTTTCAGAATTTTGAGGTATTTGAGATCATATAGAAATAGTATGCATTATTATATTTTATATATTAAATACAATAATTTATTGGTACTATTAATTCTAACTATAGATATATATGTCTCATTTTCTACATCATATGTGTTTACAATTTTAAATTGAAATTATCTATTTCTCTTTTCTTTTTTCTTTTTTTTGGCACACATTAATTTTGCTCACGATCGGTTTTAAATGTTTCTAATTCATAATACGAATGTCAAATTGTACTATACAATTATTTCTAACCACTTTTTTCCATGTACCTTTTTTGTTTATTAATTTTTGGGTTAAATCATGTTCAGATTAATTTTTTTTATTTAAATAGAAATGCACTTTGAGATTCTGTTGCAATAAATTTAGGAGATAGGTTGAAGATATTCTGTTATAATTGTATTATACAATTTAGTTTCGTTTGTCACTTTTAAAATATATATTGCAATGATGTAGGAATAAAATATTTTTAAAAATTTAAATAAAGTATCCTAGACCTAACAGCTCTTTAATGGGCCTTCTATATGGACCATTAAATTGATTTAATGGGCCTATTTATATTAGGCCCAACTTAAAGTAGAGATATGGACTTCTCAAATTGAGACCAATGGAAGTTCAGTACCAGAAAGCGTACAAAAAAACAGGTAATTTCCTTTTCACACTGTACACCGTTTCAGACATCTATCTTTGCACGCCCTGACGTTTGACCCACATCCGTCCGACACAAGGGACGATTCATCTCCTTGGGAACGCCAAGATGTGCTCTCCTAACCTGCTTCAGCTTCTTTGAAGAAGACGATATGGCAATGGCGGAGTTTTCCGATTAGGGTTTCTCTCTGTGCACCACCGGAATTAAAGATTCTCTACAGTTTTTGGTTATGTTTTCCTCAATCCCTTGGTGAACTACTGGGGTTCGGTATTTCCCGTATTTATCACCGAGAATCGGCTCTCCGAACTCGGAGCCATGTTCCGAGCTCTGTAAGTGATTTGATTGATTGGTTGATTTGAATCTCTAGTTCGTATTACTTCATTTTGGATTCTACCCTCGTTTGCGTCTGCAGGAGGCTTTCTCCATTGCGATTTCTCGTGGACTCGCCCTCCAAATCAATTCCAAACAAAAATGTATGTCGAATTGTGGATGATCAGTGATCCCTGTCTTCGTTTCTCGGTTCTTACAACTTTGTGGATGTTATGATGGAGAATTTGATTGCAGGGAACGAGAACAAGCAACTATGATAACTGGGTCGGATGTTCTTGTTCTGTAACCACATTGACGGGTACGTCGGATGAACTGATTTTGAAATCCATGTTCATTAGGTGGGCTTACTCTTTTTCCTGTGAATCATAAAACAGAAGGTTTTGTGAGTTCAAAGATGCAACCTTTTGATGATTTAGTGTTCTCAATGTAGGTAATGAATTAGTTGGGCATCGAGATGAGTCGAGTACCATGATTTTGCAGAGGCAGATTGTTGGTGCTCTTTGTTCGGGAGAAAGGCACATAGCTTCAAGTCTGCTTGTAAAGTTAATGAACGAGAATTATCCGCTTGAAGCCAATGACTTTTTGCATATTCTAAGGTATTGTGCACGGTCTCCAGATCCTGTGGTAAGTTGAAAGACATGAAATTTAGCTTTGGTTGTTGTTTAAGTGAACTTAAACTCCGTTTGCAATCGCTCTTTTAGATAAGCCACACAAGAAAGCCAGTGGGAAAACTATTACTTAAGTGTGGTAGACTTAAAAGGCAGTGATTTTTTTTCGGCTCATTATATGCTAAACTGGTAATTTCTCACCTGAAGGTGGTAATTTGATCTTCTTGCAGTTTGTCATGGAGACTTACAGTGCCATGAGTGAGAGAGAGATCAGTATGGACACCAAATCTTTGTTGTTCATTGTAATTGCCCTTTGTAATGGTGGATATTTTGATCAGGTACTTCAATTCCAATCAAGTATCCAACTCAGTCTTCATTCTGACTTGTTATATAATGTTATAATAATGGACTGTTTCTGTTTCTCGTGTGTCCGTGTTATACCTGTTCAGGCTTCAGATTTGATCAACTTTGCTGGAGAAAGTGGTAGTGTGTCTCCTGTTCTGCCTTTATATAACTATGTTCTTCGAGCCTGTGCAAAAACCAAAAATCTATTGCATGCAAGTAAATGTTTGGACTTGATGGATCGCCAGAGAGTTGGGAGGAATGAAACCACATACTCAGAGCTTCTCAAGGTAAGTGAAGAACATATGTTATTCCCCTTGTGCCAAAGTTGGTGTAGGTTCAGTTTGACATTGATTAACGGGAATCAAGATTATTGTGTAAATCATAGGATGTGCCAAATAATATGGCATAGGTTAGTAAAATTTCTGGGCTCACAAAGATGTCAAGTCTTGACTCTAGATAGAATTAAGAACCCTTGGTTCTTGGAACTCTACCATTAGAGAGTCAATTACTTTTGCTCCATTGGCTTTGCCGGTTATGGGTAATAGTTCTTACCAAATTTGAACAAGGAGTGGAGGAAAGTTGAATATGGCGATTCTTTTCCTGATAAACTTCAATGTTGCTCTCCTTCCTGCTCATGATGTCACTTTGCGTTATTTTATAAAATAACGGCTTGACCTAGGGGTTTCATTTGTGTTCTGCATGAGCTCACTGTGTTGTGATCTGATCAATGTTCTTTTCAGCTTGCCGTTCTACAGCGAAATCTATCAGCTGTTCAGGAGTTCTGGAAAGAGTACACTAAACACTATAGTCTGAATATATTTTGTCTCAGAAAGTTCATATGGTCCTTCAGAAGGTTGGGGGACTTGAAATCAGCATATGGAGCATTGCAACAAATGGTGGATCTAGCTATTAGGGGAAAGCATTCTCTTGAATCAAATACTAAAGGGAGATTGTGTACCTCAAGACTGGATATTCCTATACCTTTATGTGGTGAAACAGGGCTACAGGAAGTTGGCTTTCACGAACATCCTGTTGCCACGATGGTGGATGCTTATGGGAATGATGCAGTGATGTGCAAATTGCCTGATAGACACAGCAGAGAAGTTGAGTGTTCTAGCGTAGGTTTGCAAAAAGTTTTGAGAAGCACCCTGTTGTGGTCATTCAATGATGTGATTCATGCATGTGGACAAGCTAAAAATTCTGAACTTGCAGAGCAGTTAATGTTACAGGTATCTCCCACTAGGCCCCCTTCCATCCACTCCTGCAGCCTCTTTAGTTGCTATATTCACGTTCTGGTCATCAGACCTTTATGAGTGTTCTTTGCTTAGGGCCGGGTTATAGGAGCGCCACTTAAGATGGGAAACTTGTCGCTATAGGAGCGTCTCTTAAATTTGGATTCTTTATTTGTAAGAAATAAAATATGTCACATGATCACCAACACCACTTCGTATTGTTCATGTTATGCAATGGAACTATATTGTAATAACTGGCCCTTCACTCGTCTTTCTGTGGGTTTTCTTAATCCTACCTCATGATGTTCGATGAAAACTCTAATGTCTTATTATCATCTTATTGTGTGCTAACAGATGCAAAATCTCGGCTTGCAACCATCAAGCTACACATATGATGGCTTTGTTAGAGCAGTTGTGTCTCAGGAAGGATATAGAAAAGGCATGGCTCAGGTAGGATTCTCGCACTGTCCGTTATTTCCTTTTGTTTAGACTGCTCGTTTTCCAGTTATTCAGTTTTTTCCTGGATGGTTTTGGTTAATGTCATTATGTCTTTGCAGTTGAAACTAATGCAGCTGCAGAATCTGAAACCATATGTTTCAACTCTTGCAACCGTTTCAGCTCATTGCAGTAAAGCCTTACGAGTGGATTTGGCTGAATTTCTGCTGGATCAAGTTTCTGAACCATGTTATGCATACCCCTTTAACAATCTTCTTGCTGCGTGTGACACCTTGGTTAGTTAATCATATATATTTTTTTTTATTTGAGAGCCATATTACATCAATCTTTTTCCCTCTGGTGTTATATTTGTTTTGTCACGTCTGTTTTTTTTTCTTTTTCTGAAGCCTTAGGTATAATGAGTTAGTTTTGTCGTTGCTCAAAGTATTGTCCAACTCTAATTATATTAACCATCAGGGACAACTGATGTTGGTGCTGTTAACATTGAACATGGTTGCATATTGTTCTTCACTGCAAGATGTTGTAACAGCATCTAGATCATGGTCTTACATGTTGCATAAAGTAAATATTCTATACATGTTTTGTGAGCTGTTTTGTGTTTATTGTGATTTGTGTAGGATCAACCAGAACGCGCTCTTCGAGTTTTGGCTAAAATGAAGCAGTTAAAAGTGCATCCAGATATCAGGACCTACGAACTGCTCTTTTCACTGTTCGGTAATGTGAATGCACCATATGAAAAAGGCAATCTTTTGTCCCAAGCAGAATGTGCTAAAAGGATAAGGGCTATTGAAATGGATATGGCAAGAAACGGCTTTCAGCACAGTCTTTTCTCGATATGGAATTTGGTAAGTTTTCTGTGCAATCCTCTTTCTTATCTATCTGAAATTGATTATACGGTTCGATTATTTTGGAAGTCCCCTTTTTTCTAGTTTTCCATCTCTTTTGAGTGTTGGGAGATTACCCTTAAGTGTAGAATTCTACCAATCTTTGATTTCTTGGGTTTTGATTTGTGAATGTGCTTTCTTTTTTCTCCAGTTGAAAGCATTCGGAGCTGAAGGGATGGTGAGAGAAATGATCCTATACTTGCAAAGGGCCGAGTTCCTTTTTAGTGACAGGGATATGTATCTAGGAACCTCTATATACAATACAGTGCTCCATTCACTCGTTGAGGCACAGGAAGTAAGTCTTCATTGTTCTATCTGCTGTTGTAGGTTTTCACACTCTCTCTGACTGGTTCTCATGACCTAGTAGTTGATCACATTTTTTTCATGATCTGCAGTGTAACTTGGCGATTGAAATATTCAAAAGCATGAAATCACGTGGATTCCCTCTCGATTCTGTCACGTATTGTATCATGATTGATTGTTGCAGCTATATTCATTCTTATAGATCAGCTCGTGGGCTGGTTTCAATGATGATTCGTGACGGGTTTAGCCCTGAGACAGTCACTTTTACTGCTCTCATGAAGGTACCAGTGGATTCTCTGATTTTAACCTCAAAAGAGTTTTGTGCACTATCTTTCTCCAAGAACTCGTTGTTAACACGAAAACAAGCCCTTACATCTTCCTAATTACCAGTGCTAATGGTTTGGCTACATTTTAGCTCTTCATTTCTGCTATTGCCAGATTATATAAGTCACTTATACCATCCGGAAGCCTGATCTATTCATTAAAGGTGGTTTATCTTCTCGTAGATACTGTTGGATGATGGGAATTTTGAGGAGGCGCTTAATCTTTTGGACCAAGCAGCATCTGAAGGGATTAATACTGATGTCTTGACATATAATACCATTCTCCAGAAAGCATGTGAGAAGGTAACACATCCCTTGCATTTTGGCTCCTGGTGATAATTGTTGGTAAGATCGCCGAGTCCCGAGATCAATCCAAGTGGATAGACCCTGTTCGTTTCCGGTGCCCTGTTTGAGTAGGCATTTGTTCTGAAATCTTTCCATCACAGTTTTGTTGATGGATCTTATGTCTTTTTTATCTGAAGGGAATGATCGGTGTGATCGAGTATGTAGTCGAGAGAATGCATCAAGAGAGAGTCAAACCAGATCCAACGACATGCCAATTCGTCTTCACTGCTTATGTGAAACGAGGGTTTTACATGACAGCATTAGAAGCACTGAACATTATGAGCCTAAGAATGCTCAGCAAAGAAGACAACGAGAGCCTTGAAGATAAGAGAACGGAACTGGAGGAGGATTTCATCCTGTCTGAAGACCCTGAAGCCGAAGAAAAAATAGTTCAGTTGTTCAAGAACTCCGAGGAACATCTTGCCGCAATGGTTCTTAACCTAAGATGGTGTGCAATCCTCGGGTCACAGGTATTATGGTCAGAAGATCAAAGCTCATGGTCCAGACGACTTTCCAACATGTACGGCGTATGAACTGCGATTTTCCCGGCACCAGATTCATCATCTACGCCTCCGCCCAAGCAGCGGATAATCTACTGAAAGGATTTGAGGTGAATTATTTGTCTCTGTGGCTGATCTTATGAGCTTTCATTGAATTTGGAACAGTAAAAAAAGAGAGTCTAATCTGATTGTTGATAGCCTTAGAAGAAGTTCTGTTCTCTGCAACAAGAGAAGAGTAGTCTCTTTCTTGTACTCTTTACTTCAGTTTTGTTTCTTCACATCATTAGATGCAAAAGGATTCTTTTGTTCTTGTCTCCTTGGTGACGCAATTTGTCTGAACATTAATTTGTATGAATAAAATAAATTATTTTTTGTCAATTTTATACGTATGATTAGAAATGGCATAAAAAGGGTTAAGAGGGATTTAATCGAACATTAATTTGTATGAATAAAATAAATTAATTTTTTTTTATAGAGAATGATCGGTAGAATACTAAAGATTATCAACAAACTGCAATGTATATGTAATTCTAGAGATTTCAATACTAATTATAATTGTCAATCATTTATAATCGATTGAGGACCAAAATATTCCAGGACCGAGAAGACAGACAAATACAATTGTAACGAAGTAGATCAACGAATATGAATTTATAGTTCTAAAATGTTAAAAAAAAAAAAATCTAACAACTAAGAAGTATAAAATAAAAATTTTAATTATAAAATTAAAAATGTAATTTGATTTTTAATTATTAGTTTAGTTATGCTAATTCGTTAGCCATTCATGTCGTGAAATAAGAAAATAACAAAACTGTTCTGATTCGTACCCTCCCTCTCTCTCTCTCTCTCTCTCTCTCTCTCTCTCTCAGGAAGACTTTTTCTCCTCCTAAGGAACTCCGAATCTCTCTCTCTCTCTCTGTGGCGTTGGCGCGGCGGAGACGCCGCCATGGCTCTCCATCGGCGGGG